AGCATCACTCTGGGCATCGCCTCTGGGAGATGATGAAGCCACTTGAAATCTCGCTGGTCCATGGGGCAGGGGACACGATTCATGGATGTTGTTTAAAATGTTGTGCCCGATCCTGCCCCGCTGGCTGAATGTGGCGCTGTCGAGGCGCAGCGGTGCCCCGAGGTCCCCCCCTGTCCCCGCGGCCCGGGGCGGAGCGGACCCTGCCCGGCCCGGGGACAAGTCCCGAGCGGGACGCGCTGCGCGGGCGTCTGCCTAGTGACTGGTGACGTCACAAATCCAGGGCTTCTGATTGGCTGCAAGTTTTGGGTGGGGCGTCCCCCCCCGGGGGTTTGGGACATGGGGAAGAGTGGGGGGGGACAGGTCCATAAAGCCATTCGGGTCCAGGGTCCGCTCCTGTCCCATGGCCACGCCTTCATCCTGCCCGTCCCACAGCCTCTTCCCACAGAGCTGCTTCCCCCAGAGCTTCAGGCCATGGCTCCACGCCCCACCCTGTGAGCCTGCTCCCCTCACCGCCACGCCCTGTCCCGCTGGCCCAGCGGTGCAGTGACCCCTTTCATCCCGCTGCCACTCCGTGCCCTCCCAATCCCACAGCCACCCAATTCCCCCCATCCCACAGCCCCCCCGTGCCCCTGCCTTGCCTCACAGACCCTCCCACGGCCCTCTTAGCTCCACAGTGCTCCATTCCCACAGCCTGCGCGCCATCTCCTGCCCCACAGTCACTCTGTGCCCCCCTGACCCGACTGTATCCCCTTCCATCCCACAACCACGCAATACCCCCCTGTTCCACGTCCCCACTGTGCCCTCTTTGCCCTCCCCGTGTGCCCCATTCCCGTGTCCCCAGCAGTGGCACCTCTGGGTGTCCCCAACGCTGAGCACACCGCTGGCGCGGTCAGAGATGAGGTCCCTCTGCTCCTCAGCCATGGCTCCGTTGGGGTCCCCGAAGAGAATGAGCACCCCGAGAGAGGCTTCTGGAAATACCCTCGGGTCCCCACCCCGCCCTGACACCCGGGGGGGGAAGCCAGAAAAAATGTCCTATTGGCTGCTGGCACTTGCATCACTCGTTGTCAGGCAGAGCTCTGCTGCAGAGGTCTCCAGTTCAGAGATTATGCTGGACACAGCCCTGAGCTCCACGGCCGCTCTGTGGGGCTTCACTGCCCACCCCACGGCACCAGCAGGTCACCGTGCCCCACTGGTGACACCGGTGCCAGGGGCCCAGAGGCTATGGTACCCCCAGGGGGGCAGGAGGTGAGAAAGGGGGGGTGGCAGTGGGGAGGGTGAGAGGAAAGGTGTGAGGAAGGAAGTGGGGTGCAGAGCTGGGACAGGGGGGTGGGACACCATGGGGAGGAGCCCCCACACCAAAAGCTGAGCAGGAGCCTCCGTGGGGGCACAGTGCCAGGGTGCACCCCTCCTCCCTGGTCTCCTCCCCTGCTGCTGGGGAAAAGCTGCACTGGGGCTCAGCCCCTCCTTGAGGGTCACTCTGGACCCTCCCTGTGAGGGGGTTCTTGGCCAGAATTTCTCAGTCTGAGGGGATGGTGACTAAAGGATCAAGGGCTTTCAAGCCTTCCTTCCTTCTAGCATTACCCACTTTGCTTTGCCTGCAGCTGCTTCCAGGGGCTGAACCCCCAAAGCCAAGAGAGGAGGAACAGCCCCTCGATGTGAGCGATCCCAAAGCACCAGTGGGAGTGGGGCAATGAGGGTCTCCAGCCCCCCACAGCCCCACAAGGGCTACATGGGCAGGAGCAGCCATCCACCCCATAATGCTTGTTTTGGAGGTGTTACACAATGTCCCAGAGCAGCCCAGGGGTAACAGACCCCCATGTCCATGCTGGGCCGAGGTCACTCTGAGCCCAGCACCAAGCTGGCTCCAGTGTCAGGACTCAGCACAAGCATGGCCAGAGCTCAGCCAAAAGTGAAACTGCAAATGTACCAGTGAAAGTCCTGCCTCACCCTACCTAACCAGGATTACCTGGCAAACCCCCTGGGGCGAGCAGGGACATGTTTCAGTGACTCCATTTCTTTTCCTGATTCAGTCCTGAGCCTCCAGCTGGCAGGAGAGCAAGCAAAGGGATCATTTCAAAGCATTTACAGGGGTATAGGGTGGGGTCTTCTGGCAGATGCTGTTCCTGGAGGAAATGTGGTGGGTGATGCTCCTGCTTTCCAGGTGGGAAATTGCAGCCCCGCACAGGGGAAGGACTTTGGTGCCTGGAGCCTGATCCTGACTCTGTAACCCAGCTGAGAAAGGCCTGGGCACCCAGGGATTCACACAGCACTGCCCCAGGGTGTCCATCAGCCTCACCCCAGCCTGTAGCAAAGATGGTTTCTGTGTTTAGAAACCATCAGAGGGGTTTGAAAAGAAAATAAAAAGGGAGAGGAGATTGAGAGAAAATGGAAGAAAGAGAAGTAAAAAAAAAAAGGAAGAAAAAAAGGGGTGGGGGGGAAGAAAGAACACAAAAGCCTTCCATACATTTTTTTGTCTCTGCCCTCATGGGCACTGGGACTTCTGGGGGACACACTGGTTTTCCTCACAGCCCCAGCCCACACTCAGCTCATTTTTGGGCCACAATCCCTGCCTGGAGGCCACGCTCCTGGTGCATTCTGTGACCAGCCTCAGCCATAAGGGGAACCAGAGAAAGCCAGAACAGGAACTTCACAAACAAAACCCCAGCGATTCCATGGAGCTGGGCCGGCTGTGCAAACCACAAACGTGGGTGACAACTTGGGGGTGAGGAACATCCCCTTCCCAGGCAGGCTGACCCCCTCGAGCCCCAGCCTGGAGGAGGAAAGTCAGCCCCAAATCAGCCCCTGCTCCACACACACACATTTCCAGTCAGCTCTTCAGTGCCTCACACACAACTTTCTGCCCAGGGCTGTGACACCCGGTGGGTTCTCAGTCTGTGAACTGATTTTCCAGGGAAGACAAAGACACTTTCAGAGAGCAGCTTCCATCCTGTCTGGCCCTCCTCACTCTCCCATCGCCTGAGGCTGGCAATGAATTGTCACCACCCGGTTACCCGAAGGCTTTGTGTTTGGTGCTGCCCATCAAAAACTTCACAAGTCTTTTTTGAGAAAAAAGCCATCTGGAGCAAGGAGTGATTTCAGGACCCTGATGAGGACCAGGCCAGCAGAGCAATTATTTCAGGCAGTGAGGTGGAATAACCCAGTGGGCATTCACAGGAAGCCATTCATCACCAGCTGGGCCTCATTTCACAGCTCTCAGCCCCAGACCCTGCACAAAGGTTTGGGGAACACACCCACATTTCCCACTGAGCCTAAGGTGACACCCTCAGCAGCACAGGACCAGCCCTGGGCAAACCTGAGGGGAAAGGCTGAGCCACAGGGCTCACCAGTGACCACTGACTGTATCTGGGCAGGGAGCACAGCCCCTGAACAGCCCCATGCCCTCCGCAGGATGAGCATCCCTGCCAGGGCGACACAGGGTGGGCAGGCAATCACTCAAGACAAGCCAGTTGGGTGAGGCCAGGAGTGTCCAGAGCCAGGAGATCCATCCATGCCACTCTGACAGGAGGGCCTTTCCCTCCAGAAAGCCCCAGGACATGAGCAAGGAAGCTGCTCTTTGCTGGGGCTTTGGTTTCTCTTCCTCATTCATCATTTCCTCTTTGGGGTTATGCATCAACACAGGAAGCTGCTTCAAAGACGTCAGGTCAGCTAAGAAATCAAAGCAATTTTAACCTTTAATTGTGCAGTGAGCCCAGGCACCAGCTTGCCCATGGCACAGCACTGCCAGGGCAGCACATGGCACAGGCTGGGTGTACACCAACTCAGCTCAGCCAGCCCTGTGTGCACCTGCACGGATCCAGCTTCCAAGGACTAAGGGCTAATAGAGCAAATCCACCTTCCCGTGGAGCAGACACCTTCCCCTTTCTACATGTGGTAGAGGCTGAACCAGCCTGGACCAGGGTGGGCAGCAGAGGGAGTCAGTGGAAACATCCCCTGCACTCAGATGAGCAGAGCCTGCTGAACTTTTGCTGCAGCAAAGGTCCTGTGTTGGATTTCTGATATAGAGCTCTCCCCAGATGTGCCCCATTAAACAGCCATGGTGATGTCCCCTGGGACAGAGTAACTCACATGAAACACACAAATCACTAGACTGGAAGAGACCTTTAAGATCACTGAGTACAACCCAGCCCTAACACCTCAACCAAACCATGGCACTGAGTGCTACATCCAATCTTGTACTAACTGTGGCTTTTCATCATGTAAAAACCATTACTAACAAAATAACCCAACACCAACCAACCAACCAGCAAAATTGCAACAAACTAAAAACCCCACTAGCAGGAGGGAACCTGAAACCCTGCCTGCTTGATCTGCCATGCCCTCAGACGTGCCACACCTGCACAGCCAACAAGAACAGCTTTCACAGCATGCAAAGCCCATCAAAAACCAGAGTGGAGCTGTTGGTAAGTGCCCCATTCCCTGCTCCCTCCTCTCTCCTGCCCTTTTCTCCTTCAGCTCCATGTTGGCTGAGCTGCTTCTGGTTTCATGTTTTTGACACCTTCTCCTTATGGAATTCAACCACCACTTTAAGGACAGGAAAAGTGATCTGAATGGCAAATGGTGCATGTTTAAGGCAGCAAGGAAAGTTTGTTCTAATGTTTTCCATGGCCACATATAAAATAACAAATAAAACACTATGGCTGTGCCAAGGGAAATGCTGGCTTAGGAACAGATATCCAGGCAGAGAAAGGACTTTTTCCAGAGAAAGGGGAAGTGATGCATTAAGCAACATTTTGCAGAAAATCCAGCAGCAGTTGCTCGTTCCCAGTCCAGCTTTCTTTTCCAGGAGATGCAAGAAGTTATGACTCATTTCAAAAGCAGCTTTTACTATATGAAGCCCAAGACCCCTATGGCTTTGGAGCAGCCAGCCTGGTTCCCCTCCAAGCCAGATGCCTTGCTCCACAGCACAAGCCTGTGGATGGAATTACCTGAAGCCCCCTTGGCTTCTGAGCACACCCCAGTAAGGAAACACAGAGCTAAACTGAGGTTTAAGAGAGCTTTAATAACAGAAGGTGCTGCGCTGATTACAGACGACGTCCACGGCGACCACCCTTCCTGCGAGTGCTGTCGGAGGGGATGGGGGTGACATCCTCTGCAGGGAGAGAATCCAGAGCACAGTTACCTTCCAGAGGCACCCCACACACCACCTGGGCACAGCCAACACCCAACACCTCAGCACCTGGACACCACAGGAGCTGCACATGTGCAGAAGGAACTCTCTGTGAAGGTATTTGGGAACTTGCCACAGGCTGGGTACCCTGTGCAAGCAAAAATTCCCATCTCCCACCCCACTTAAACCAAGCAGCCACAGCAGTTCAAAAGAAACACAGGATGTTTGAAGAATTTTCAGTACAATCACCACCACTGCATCTTGTGACTTCCCCACAAAGTTCAGGACTCTCCCTACAACAGCTGGAGAACTCCATTATTACTGAGTCACCGAGACCAACAAGGTATTTTTAGGTGCCAGAACAGCCATGTGACATCAGAGGAGGAGCAGCAACAACCTGCTCCAAGCTGGGGTTTGCCCTGCACACAGAAATCTGGGTTCTGAGTGCTGCTCTCACCACCTACTGGTCAATTTAAGGATCTGTTTACATGAAATCCTTTCATTGGTGCCACCTAGGCGGCCATGAAGAAAGTCCTGAAGTTAAGATCAAGCAGAGCAATTATTTCACTAAATATTCCTTTTTTTCCTCACTCACCAATGCGGCCAATCTTCATTCCAGAGCGGGCCAGAGCTCTCAGGGCTGACTGAGCACCGGGTCCAGGAGTCTTGGTCCTGGAGAAGAATCAGAACCAACAACCCTTTTAATGACCCAGAAGCTGCACACAGTTTACAAACAGCCAGGAATATGAAAGGCACACTTTCCCCATGCCAAACCACTCTCCTGGTGTTCCAAACCCATTCACCAGCAGCCCCCACAGCCATGTCCCCATCGGTGCCCCAGCCCTCCTGCTGTACCTGTTGCCCCCAGTTGCACGCAGCTTGATGTGCAGGGCAGTGATGCCCAGCTCCTTGCACCTCTGGGCAACGTCCTGGGCTGCCAGCATGGCTGCGTAGGGAGAGGACTCATCTCTGTCTGCCTTCACCTTCATCCCACCGGTCACACGGCAGATGGTTTCCCTACAGAAGGAAAAGGTGATGCTCAAAACAAAGCCATTCCTTGCTCCTCCCCCAAATCAGAACCTATTATTTCCAATGCTATCATATCAATAAGCCACACAGCACCCTGAACACCATCTTGATCAGATGACCTCACCAAGCCACTCAGTTCATGCATATGCACCGTGCAAGAAGCTCAGCAGAAACTCAAGTATTTTGGTGGAACCTCTTGCCAAGCCCAGTTTCTGCTTTCGCACCTGAAGGAGCTGGGCTCTGCAGGGAGGTGATGCCTGCCCCATACTCACTTGCCAGACAGATCAGTCACATGGACGAAGGTGTCATTGAAGGAGGCAAAGATGTGGCAGACGCCAAACACATTCTCTCCTTCAGCAACCTGGGGTCCCAGGCTGATGACCTGCTCTTCCTTCTTCTCCTTGCCCTTGCGAGGCGCCATTTCTGAGCAACAACAAAACAGATGTATGAGTGTTGGCAGTTTCTCAGCATTGTTCAAGGATTTTATGAAATTCCTGCTATTTCAACCTTTTACCAAGCACGAAAAAATGAGTTACCACTGGCAAAACACAGATACATTTCTTATAAACCCCTTAATTCCCAGCTTTGCTGTATCCTGGCACACAGGCCATCATCTACTGCAAGTAGATGTTTAGTGGAGTCTCTCCTGCTGCACTTCATGGCAGCTGATGTCCCCAAGTCCCACCACAGCAGTGCACAAGGGAGCTCTTTTCCTTGATAATCAGCAATGCTGAGCACTTCCAATTGTTTATGTGGGTTTAAGATAAAAAAAAAACCAAACTAAACAATTACAGAAACCCAGGATTCTCAGAAAGCTGCGAGTCTGTAGAAGTTTAAGTACCAGCTTGGGTTTTTCCATATTACTGGTCTCCCAACCACATCCTTGGGACTAGCCCAGCCAAGTTTCCAGCTCCCGAAGCCTACCCCCAGCGATGGGAGACAGCAGGGGCTGTGCTCGGTTTGATGGCGGCGAATCCTGGGCATCCGCTCCCAAGCACAGAAAAACGGTTCCATATTGCCCTCTCCTGCCAAACTCCTGCTACAGCTGGCGCCCTGCACAAGGGACATGTCCGGCCGCTGCACCGAGGTACCCAACCCAAACACAACCCAGATCACCCTCGGCCATGCCCCCTCCACCGACTGCCCTGAGCACTATAACATCGATTTACAGCAGTGTCTGCGCGGACACTTCCATAGCACCACATCCCCTCCTCGACCCATCCATGGCGCACGGGCTCCACGGACAGCGCTCTCCCCAGCGCAGCGAGGCCCGCACGGAGCACGCAGCACACGCTGTATCTCC